AATATGCTGTACTATGTAGGTATACTCTTGTTTCTTTTTTGATTTCTTTATGGTATATAAGAATTAGCACAGAGAATTGTGACAATTCTCACTGTTACGATATCTCAGCTACGGTATTGCAGTCAGCTGTGTTGACAGCAGCTGTGTTGACAGCAGTTGTGCTGACAGCAGTTGTATTGACAGCAGTTGTGTTGACAGCAGTTGTGTTGACAGCAGCTGTGTTGACAGCAGCTGTGTTGACAGCAGCTGTGCTGACAGCAGCTGTGCTGACAGCAGCTGTGTTGACAGCAGTTGTGTTGACAGCAGTTGTGTTTATAGCAGCTGTGTTAACAGCAGTTGTGTTGACAGCAGTTGTGTTGACAGTAGTTGTGTTAACAGCAGTTGTGTTGACAGCAGTTGTGTTGACAGTAGTTGTGTTGACAGCAGTTGTGTTGACAGCAGTTGTGTTGACAGCAGTTGTGTTGACAGCAATTGTGTTGACAGCAGCTGTGCTGACAGCAGCTGTGTTGACAGCAGTTGTATTGACAGCAGTTGTGTTGACAACAGTTGTGTTGACAGCAGTTGTGTTGACAGCAGTTGTGTTGACAGCAGTTGTGTTGACAGCAGTTGTGTTGACAGCAATTGTGTTGACAGTAGTTGTGTTGACAGTAATTGTGTTGACAACAGTTGTGTTGACAGCAGTTGTGTTGACAGTAGTTATGTTGACAGCAGTTGTGTTTACAGCAGTTGTGTTGACAGTAGTTGTGTTGACAGTAGTTGTGTTGACAGCAGCTGTGTTGACAGCAGTTGTGTTGACAGTAGTTATGTGTTGACAGCAGTTGTGTTGACAGCAGTTGTCACATGTGGGAGCCGCCGTAATGTAGCAGCTAGACGCTCGTCTGCTGTCGTAGGTTCGAATCCGATTGGAGACGGGCATTTTTCCAGAAAAATGACCTTGGCTCCTAGATACACGCAGCCTTAACTGGTACTAGGTAAAGTCATGAGAAGTAAAGGCGACCAGTGCGATGCTGACCACATCACCCATTGAGTGTCCATTCGTCTATAAAATATAGGTCCAGCCCAATATGCGCAATACGCGTGAAGGCGGGAAAAGGATATTTTGTGTTTACTTAGTTCTTAGATGTGTTTGCTGTAGAGTCCTGAATCTGAAATGAGCCGCTTGGAATGTTTCCGTGAACATGCAAGATGTGACTTATTCGTCATAGCTTTAGATCCACACTATTTGTGCACTTAGCAATATTATATTTGTACAACTGCGTTTTAAATAGTAATAAGAAATATTCCACTTTCGGGTTACTATTGTAACTGCATAGCTGTAAATTATAAAATCGCCACAACGGGGTGAAATAGAAACATACCAGCAAATATTTAGTCTTCTTCTAGACATAATAATTGGAGTTTAAAGACTTGGGTTAACAATAATCTCCTACCAACAGTGCAATCCTGGTCCATCGTCACTGGGTATCCGTCGCCAATACCCTCATTATAATTTTCTTAGAGACTGAACAGGTTATCAGCATTTTGCCCTGTTGGATTTTCTTTCCATGATTAGACTCCTGGGGTCTCGGGGGAAGGGGCTTAAATCGACAGGTAGCACCCCAAAACATGTAAATAATATCAAGAACTACTTAACTTTTTTTTTGTCTGGACCATACCAAATGTGGTGCAATAAGGCACGTAACATCATTTTGGTGACTGTGTAGAGTATTTTCATTGCCTCACGTTAAGACAGGCGAGCAACTCCAGCACAGTGTCTAGGTGTTTGTCTTAAGACCTGACTCCACACACATAGAAATTTTTTTTTTTTTCAACTGACCTTTGGCTTGCATGCCAAACAAGTCTAAAATGAATAGCACGAAAGTCCTGAGAAATAACGGTGGTCGGCTAGTTTTTTAGCCATATTCCTCATCTGGTACTGATTGGTCTATTTTCAAAAAATATGGCCTAAATGGGGTTGTAATGGGTGGGGTTTCAAAGACGAGCTGAGGACTGGATGTACTAAATATGACATAAAGTGTGAATAGAAAGCTTGATGGAAGGAATCGAAAAAGAGGTTCATAAAACAAATAAGCTTGTAAACAACCAAGATAATCGCGAAACCCAGAAATGCATAAAAGGAAACAATATGGACATAAAGAAGTGTATTATGAAACCAATTCCGTCAGGCATGGGGGGGGGGGGGGGGTTTTGAGGTGGGGGGGGGGGGGAGGTTGTTGTGTTAAAATGTTTAAATGAACAATAAAAAAAAATGAAAAATCAATTGAATATTAAATATAGCGGTTTTCCCTGTAGAACTAAGGAATGAAACTATTTTCTATGCAGTAGAAGATAGTTTGATTTCTGGAGCAAGATTTTACAGAAGTGACTGTGATATAGGTTGCCTCATTTACGAGGCATTTGATGAGATAACCCATTTTTGTTTGGTGAAGCCGACCCGGATTTCCTCGAGTACATTCAGTGAGTCAGTCAGTAGGTACAAGAGATTAGAAATCTTACCCAAACGTGGAAGGTCGCTGCTCCATTACTGGCCACTCGAACCTCCCCCAGATCATGGTAGTTGAGAATTTCTCTGACTCTCTTCGCTGTTGCCTCATCCACGTTGCTGGAGTCGAACTCACGGACCGCATGTATCAGGCTATCTTTACCAACTTTTCCAGCCATAGACTGCAGGTATGACCAGTCCTATAACAAGCACCAACATAATTTGCATTAAATATGACAGTTACTTTAGTGTTCAGTAGACCACACTATTCTTCTTATTATTCTTGTCTCCAGACACTGTTCTGCCTTCCATCATTAGATTTTGACATCGTATGCGACCTAGAGTATGTGCCATATACAAACTGCTATCCACGGCCTCGTATATTTCCGTATATTTCCGTCTTTCTCTTAATCGCTTTCGTGGATGACATCTTGATCAGCCTACATTGCTACGTGTCTGCGTTTAAGTGAAAGAAGCTTTTGTAGTGCATCATCTTGTGCTAGCCTAGACACATGTCGAAACTATTCAATCTTTTGTCTGTTGGTGAAATATAGCACTTGTTCAGACCCAACCATGTTTCCTGACATTTTCATTTCTAACACTGTCTTTTCTTGTCACATTCAGATTCGTCGTAGACATTTCATTTCTATTGTTTCGATTTTTAATTTTACTGTATTTTAGTAAGTTGGTCATACCTCCGGTTTGAAACCTGTTTCTTCGATGACCACGAAAAAATCTACATAAGTCTTGACCGGTATGAGCCTGGGTACTGCTGCGCCACCGGGTGGGGTTCAGCTCCTTTGCATTCTAATCGGCACCCAATTAGAGATCGTCGCAAAACCAATCACTTTTACTTCCCGGGTTATTTTCTGGTAATTATTTTATTCTGGGACGACCTAGGAACAACGGTTGATTATAAAACCATCCATCTTGTGCTGACGTGAACCCAAGACCTTGGGGTCTGCATGCAAGACAAGAGAAATTAATTATTCTGAGTTAAGAATCGACATCACAGCACTCTGGACATTCACGTAAGCGCTTCGTTCCCATATTCAACAGCCAGCGCAGAGTTCCAATTCTGATGTATCAGTTAATGCTCTGATAAGTAAAATCTGCTCTCGTGATTTTTATCACAACACTCTCCAGTAGCTGGAGATCTTAATTCGATAATGAATGAGTGCGTGTAAACACTATGGTTGTTATAATGAGAATATTGATGATGTTGACGATAACAGCTGTTTCGAGCCTAGTAGATGTGTACAAATAACCACTTGTGAAAAGAGATGTTTAGAATAAAAATCAGAAGGCCTCTCGTGAGAAATAAAGAGATTGGAAGAGCTATTGGAAAAGTACTCATTGTTAAATTCTTTGAGAAACAAAGACTGTAATGGTTCTGCCACCTAGTGCGTATGAATCCAGCAATGCCGGATACGACAGCGTACAACAGGAAAATGGAATCAGCAAGATGCAGAGGAAGACCTAGAATTTGGATTGACGAAGTCACGGACTTTCCAATTTCACAGCATAACGAACAGCAAAACACGCAGACGAGCGTGCCCTGGCTTGGTTACCTATTATCTGCTAAACTGTAACGCTTAGCAGAAGAAAGCAAATATTGACAAAAAAAAAGAAACTGAGTGTGTCTGACAGCAACCTACCCGCAAGGTGGATTCATCATGACCTAACAACATGTACGAGGCTGCCATGACATCATGCACACAGGCAGGTGGTCTGTGGTAGCTGTGAATCTCAGAGATCGTTGCCTGGTCCATCTGTTAGACAAACAAACTAACAGTTATTTCGCCGTTTGTAGTACTATTTACTGGTAAAGTTAAAAAATAAAAGTAAAGACCCTTTTTACGCTCTCATGCGTATTGGGCATATAGGGCTAGATCTATAATAGGAAAAACTTCACACAGGAGCATGCACAGCAGGGCCCCACCTGTCAGCTGTAGAGATCCTTCGTCGACAATTGTTTCGGCCTTTTACTTCCATAAAAATGTCGGAAGTTGGGCCGATCTGGGTCATGTAGCCAGACCCTGATCTTCCCCTCCTGCACTTCATCGGACTCCATAGGGACAAAACGTTATGGTGACTTTGCAATAGGTGCTATGAAATTCGGTATTATCTTGTTGCGACGGTAGCAAATTAGATCAAATGACTACTTTTACGACCAGTGTGAATGGTTGGTTCATCGTACTATTGTTAGACTTTGGCATTTGGCAGAGAGACACCGGCAGACATTTATCGGACACTTAGGCTTTTAAGGGATAAGTCATTCTTTTCCACCAGGTACTCCGACCAGTCTACCGAGGCATCCAGAGCCAGCTCGAAGCTCTTTTGGCAGCTTCGCCAAGTTGTTTGAGTGACCGTTTACGCTCGTTTCCTCGCAAGCCCAGCTGATTTAGCATATTGTACGTGGAAGTGGAGATAAGACCTCTTGCGCCTACCTCGACGGCAATGATTTTCACGAGCTTACCACTTTTTTTTTTGAGCTTATACGTTCGATTTTCTTCCATTCACGACTCGTACGGCAAGGTCCCAAGTGGAACAAGAAATGAAGACGAGATGCCACCAAGATCTAAAGGACCATACCAGATATGGAAGACCAAGAAATAGGAAATCAGGCGCAGCTGTACTCCGCGAAGAGTTGGAATAGAAATAAGGCAGGAAAAAAACCTCCTCGAAATAATTATGCGTCTACCCAGTTAAACGAGAGGCAAGTTTGGAATTTTGGTTTCGAAGGAAAGCTATACATCCAGTAAATAACTTTTTAAAGGAGCAGCCAGTCGAGCAATTAGCACATTGACTCTCGTATGAGAAATCGAATTCGAATCCTCAGCAAAGTATTCAATCTTTTTCTTCCTTTTGGCGTTTACTGTAGAGGGTCCTGGCTGTTGCATATGAACTCCACTTTGAAGGAAACAACCCTAATTAGTCGCCTTTTATGGCATGCTTATGAGCGGGCAGTTGATCTATTATTTTGACCCTAAAGTGGGTCGTGGGGACCCACTTTAAAGTGAGTGGTCAATATTTTTGTCTGGGGTGAAGAGTCCTTATCTGCACTGTTCGTGGGGACAGCACTGACCACCATAACGTCCTATATCGATAGGCTCCAGATTCCTTGGCCCTACATTGAACGAAATAGTGATTTTAAAAAAGGCAGTAAATGAGAAATAGTTTGCCGTAGCCCATTTAGTCGTAGACGCACAGCTATAACGTGCATAGCACCTGCTTCAGGACGAAGTATGGCCTAGAAAGTATAAAATACAGTATGCAGATTTTTGTTGTATAGTAGTGAATCTTGGTATGTGAGCCAGTTAAGAAAAGTTGGGTGCAACTGAGATGTGGCTCTCGAGAAGAATGTTTCGAATACCTAGGTATGCTAGAGTAACTTGCAGTGATTGCCTGGAAATGGCTAATGAGAGAAAAAAATATATATACAACAATCAGAAGAAGAAAAAACAAAGTTCTTTGGTCATCTGATGAGAAAAAGGAGCACTCGAAAATATCGTGATGACTGGAAAGATCCCACTGTAAGAAGAGGCAGGGGCAGACCGAGAGAAATGATGGTAAATGGCTTAAGACGGTGGCATGGATTAAATGTCATTAATAAAACTGATCCAGAATACCAAAGACCAAGATCTGTGGAGATGCATAAATGCCTAAGCCAGCTGACAAGGCACTTGATGATGATGAGGTTTTACAAACAGAAACAAATAAACACACAACGATAGACACTACTACCGTTAATATATCATGGCTGTACTTATTCAGTTCTCTTAAATGCTCCAGCTTTCTCTCAGCCGCCTCTATCTGAGGTCGCAGTTGGCCTGCGTATCGAGAATTCTCTGCTTCTGCAATCGTCCTCTCCAGCACACCAGCGTTACTTCTTCTAATGGCGTCTCTGAGGTCTGAAAGAAGACGATGAGAACTATGTTGTGGTGTTGCCTGTCCTTAACTGAAAGCCCTAAAGTGTTTAAGCTTTGGAAGTAAAAGCAGATCTGTACTTATGTTGTACAGACGTCACGATGTATTTGACAATGTTAAATTATCAAACTACTCCAACAATTAAACATTGACTGTAAAGATAAAAAAATAATAAACAACATTTAATGGAGGCAAGCGACAAATCTTTAGTTCGTTTCAACATCTCATGAACCCACTTGCAAGCCATTTTCTCGAAAACTGCCTGTAAGATCGCAACGATGTTTTGCATGCAGCTTTAGAATATCCATTACGCAAAAAGAGTGGTATTCTTTAGTCCATAGATGCTCAGGATGCTGACTGCTAGCCATATCCTTTGATCTTTTCGAACAATTGTAAATAAGGGGAGTGAACTTTTAGATTTTACAGTAAAAATATGAATTTATGGTTCTATTTTTGTCAGAGGCGTGTCTTAATAATACATTAATAGGTGAAGTAAAATTGTATTTGTCATTTATGTTCAACTGAGTTGAGTTGAGCTGAGTCAAGAAAGACATCACAGCACTCGGGGCATTCTCATATGCGCTCCGTCCCCATTTTCAGCAGCCAGTGCAGAGTTTCTATACTAATGGTACCGGACGCAGTCTGATTATGCGTCCATCTTGCAATTCCTCTGACTTTAGTGTGCCGACCAGGTGCTCTGGTCACACCCAGGTGTATCATTCTCTCCAGGCCATGATAATTTATTTTCTCTTCTGACTTTATTACTTGTTCCCAAGGGGCAATGACCACATCCGCCTTGTCATGTTATCAACTCACTACCCAATGGTGCAGATCCAGATAATCGGTCTGCATTGTTTAATAGTAAACATGTCCCCAAAATGCAACAGTTAGTATGCCCCTTCATTTACCATTAGACCTACGGTATATCTTAACTGCACAGCAAATTAAATTATAGTTGACACAATTGGATATGGAGATGTACGTTAGTAAGGGCTGATGATATTCAAACACTAATCGGAAAAAAATGGTTTTAATCATTCCGAATCTGACGATCCCTAAAGGTTGATAAATGTTACTGGCTGAACAAATTGTAATCCATCTCGGTGCCAGTACTCGTCTTCCTCTGTCAGCACATGTTCAGCACACTTTTTCAACAAATAAATGTCTATTTTTTTTTTAAACGACTTCCTTGTCAGAACTTCAACATCACACATTTTAAATAAACTGTTCTTTGAAGCAACTTGTCTTTTAACTTTAGCCCAAACAAGCTCTTTCGGGTTAAGGTGTGAAAATGTCCGGATCCGGATCCGTCAGGACACGAACCCACAACCTTCAGATCCGCAGGCGGCCGTCTAGTCGCCAACGACACGGCGACTATATGACACAAAAACTCAAAACTAATTTATGGATGAGTACGACTTTGCAGAAAAAAAAATCCTGAAATTACATTGTTTTTCTGTGACCCACTGTTAAACCAGTCATAGTGTGCACTAATTCCTAAACTAATGAAAGTAAACCTTCAAAAAGTCTACCAAGACGGTTTCATGAATTTAAATATATATATATATATATATAATATATATATATAATATATATATATATATATAAGATATATATAAAATATCTATCCATATATATATATATATTATATATATATATATATATATATATAAAAGTGGCAACACTGGTTGACACATTTATATATGAAAAATTAGTATATGATATTCAATGGTTTAATCATTGCCGATCTGACATTCCCAAGAAGAAAAAAAAACTACTTATGATATTCTTCTTCATTAATAAAATCTAATTTCCTCTACGTCATGGATATTCTAAGGCTGCATGCAAAAAAATTCATTGTGGATTAAACAGGCATTTTTCGAGAAAATGGCTTCCAAGTGTGTTTATGAGTTTTGAACGAACTATAAGACCAAACAACTGTCAACGAAAACTTCGGTGGATTAAAAAAAAACCGGATGGATTCTGTCCTCTGATTTGTTTTCGTTAATTGGTGTGCAAATCATATCAACAGAAAATATACATAAAGCATTGTTGGTGGGTCATAAAATAAGTAACGTACGTTGTGTTTATGAAACCTTCTTCATAACAGCGAGTCACACGGTTATGGAAAGTGACTGATATTTTGACTGCAGGAAGACGGAGAATATACTTTAGTATGAATAGTAGAAAGACAATTTTATCGGGATAACGGTGGTATAAATTTTGAATGAATACCGAAGGCTTTACGTAAATGGATTACATCAAATAGAAGACGAAGAACATTAGAGCAAACAAAACTACATGTTATGAAATGAAGAACCTCCTATACAATAAATTCCCGTCTTTGAAGGTTAGACACGAATTCTTGCACCATCCAAAATTATACAGAACTAGTTTTAGCCAAAGCAAAGTCCGGTAGAAGAGACTTCTCCCTGCTGTAACTAAACTCACCTTCTCAAAATTTTGACTAGCAATTACAGCACAGTGAACCATCTTGCTTTACCAGTTGCTGCCATCAAGGTCATTCAATCAGGTGCCGTCTCAGCAATAAAGATTGGCCAGTCTTTCTCTTGTCTTGATAGTGCACACTCTCAGACTGCTGTTCGTCAAACTCTTGATGTCTTCCTCCCAATTGTGTATCTGTCCACCTCTGCTTACTTACTTGCTTTCGACTTTAAAGAGTGGTCTGTCTTTTAATATGACCAAAATATTTCAAAATTCTGTTTTATTTATTTCAGCAACTCTCCTTTTATCCGAAATCTTTTTTTTTTTTTAACCTCGGTATTTGATAACAGATTGCATGGTGCATAGTCGTATTTGTAGACACCAATCCCTACTGTGTGAATGGTGTTGGCAATATAACTCAGGTTACCTTTACTTCCCAGAACATTTATTAACCTAACATTTGCTGTCAATAAAATCGACCTGAAGGCAGATGTTAGTTCGTTGACTTTATTGTCTCAATAGGATTTGAACATGTAAAAACTGAGTCGACCGTTAGAACGATCGGCTCACGTGTGAGAGATCGGGTTTCGAATCCTTGGTAAGGTGAGGGGCGCTGTTTTGTTTTTCTGCCAGAGGAAAAAAAACAGAATCCTATTCTGCACCGTTCGCAGTGCTTGCAATGGCTATGCTGTTTTACAAGCTGAGTTGGAATAAAAACAATCTGCCTTATACCACTCTAGAAAGCGGCTAATATGGTCATTAACGACAGACACAAGAAACAGACACAAGGGACAGACACATGCATACAGACACAAGTGACAGACACAGGCATACAGATACATATGACAGATACAAGTGACAGACACAAGCGAGAGACACATGCATACAGACACAAGTGACAGACACAAGCGACAAACACAAGCGAGAGAGACACGCATACAGACACAAGTGACAGACACAAGCAACAAACACAAGCGAGAGACACACGCATATAGACACAAGTGACAAACACAAGCAACAGACACAAGCAACAGACACAAGTGACAGACACACACATACAGACACAAGTGACAGACACAGGTAACATACACACGCATACAGACACAAGTGACAGACACACGCATACATACACATTACAGATACAAGTGACAGACACAAGCGAGAGACACATGCTCACAGACACAAGTGACAGACACAAGCAACAGACACAAGTGACAGACACAAGCAACAGACACAAGTGACAGACACAAGCGACAGACACAAGTGACAGACACAAGTGACAGACACAAGTGACAGACAGACACAAGTGACAGACACAAGCGACAGACACAAGCAACAGCCTATGCGCTCTTGCGCTTCATCAACATTTAAGCTGTTGTGTTGACAAATCAGAGTAGACAACATTAACTGTTTGAAGACGTTTTTTCCCCCAGATATATTAAATCTGAGTATAAGACCTACCTCTCTTCAGTTTGAGATACTGAAGTCTCTCTTTAGCCCTTGTCAAGTCCCCGCAATCTTCCATGTGATTCTTCTCAAACTTTTCAATGTTTTTTTCTATATCCTCTATTTTTGAACCAGATGTCGCCCGTATTAAATCATTTCGTATTCTTCTCTATAAAGTAAGAAAAATAAAAATAAAAATAAAGTTTTTCGATCGTATGACACTATAGTAAACTATGAGACACGTTTTCACACCGTTGTGTTTTATGGTTCTCATCATCTTCTTCTTCTTCTTCTTCTTCTTCTTCTTCTTCTTCTTCTTCTTCTTCTTCTTCTTCTTCTTCTTCTTCTTCACGTTCACTGGCTGAAAGCGCTAGCGGAAAGTTCCTGTTGTTCGTCCACCTCTAAACTTTAAAAATCTTGCTCTAGAACTAATTTTGCGTGCACATCCGTTTTACAGATCTGAATTTGTGTTTGCAAATTGTTGGCTCATTGCCTGTCAGGCAGATGCACTCCGACTTTAAAGAAAGCTCCCAGTTAGTCAACTCTTACGACATGCTTGTTGGGGAGGTAGTGGGCTTATTCTTGTTTCCCCCACAATGGGACCCCGGAACCCACACGGGAGGTACGTGGTACTAACCTCATAGTTTACACCAGTCGAGACTCATAGATCATATAGGCATTATGAAACCGATCGCTTTGTGACGATACGCTCGGTGACTTCAGAATGAATTTCCTCAACCTACTTTTATTTCTTTGTATTTTGAAAGTATACAGGAAAATAGGGATTTGGATACATCCTTAATCTAAGTAAGACGACCACATCAAACATTTAATTCTCCTGGACTGTTGGTCATATCAAACACTAAAACTTTTTCCCAGATGTTAAGTGTTAAGGTACAGAGATAAGACTGACCAAGCAGACTTACTGACTGGAGATTTGCACACCATTTGTTGGTGTCAGATATTTATATCCTAGCCAGACTATTAGGAGCAGATAACTCCGGCTAATTGTGTTTAATTCCCCCTGAGGTTACCTAACTCGATGGCAGGTCCGACGGTCACTATTGACATGGTGAGCAGAAAGTTTTAACAGAAGAATTGACACCGTCTAATTTTATTATGATGGCAGGTGAAGTAGGCTGAAGGTGTGACTTGTCCTATTTGCTCTGGTCAGATGAATTGACCAGGAGATCCTAGCGTGGGAATTTAAACAAGTGTTGTACAGCCCTGACTGACAGCGAATAAACTTGCCCACAGGGAGGAGCTGTGATATCCTTGAATGAGAATGATTTTAGGCGTAATGTAGGGGGAGCTTAATAAAAGTTATAAAGTGGTGAACTCTAGGTCTGGTAAATGAGACTCTGTCAAGCACATGCCATCTGTTGGGCTTAACCTAAGCTTGAGACAGAACTTTTGGCAGTGTGGTTTCATTTTCCAGGTAAGATCGAAATTAGGTTCAAATCTATATTTTGTGATAGAAATCTAACTGTCTTTTTGCTCAAGTGTGTGTCTTCATCACTTTGTAATACTCCTAGGCGGACATTTCTTCATTCTCGTAGGGCACTGTCACATTGCTTTATATCCTATTTGATAGTGTCATGAATGTTTTTTCGTGCACATGTGTTTCAATGTTGTAAAACCTAAATGTTGTTGTTGCCATTGAAATTTAATGAACTATCATGTTTTTGAAATCACAAGCGTGAAGATAACTCTGGCAATCTTTTCACGTGTGGTTAATGTGAATCTGTATTACATACAGCTTACACACTGAAATGTGTTTAACTCTCGGGAGGCTAATGCGGAGATTGATCCCGGAGAGTAAATCCACGAGATTTATTATTTAATTCGCCCCAGAACTATTGTTAGCATTCTGGGCGCGTCTATTGTTCCAAGCATGGATTCCAGAACTGGTTCTGTCTGACTGAGTGTCATTTGAGTCTGTACGAGAGATGGCACCTGACGTAGAAGACTTGACTATCATTACAGGACATGTAGAGGAAGGCAGAAGATGTAACAGTTGGAATGTGAGACATAAGCCCTTCCAAATTGGACAGGAGTGAATGTGAACATGAGGGAGAGATGAAATGTTTTATTTAAATAAACATGCTTGATGTTATTATAATATACATGCTTAGTGTACACCTAGAGCAGATACTACAGATATGCGCTTGTTTCTTTATCACAGTTCCCACATTGGGCAGGGACTAGTAGGCATCCATTATTTGCCGACCGTCTGAGTGTAACGACCTGCATGAAAGCAGTGAGGACGACAAACTGGAAAAGATAGGCAGGGTCTCAAGCCGAGAACTATCCAAAGGTTGTTACTTTCCAATACCTTTATGATTTCATCATTTACATCATTTCAACTCTACTAGCCTAAACAAGTTCATTTTAATTTCGATTTATTCAAATAAATCATGTTTGATGTTGTTACAACATAGTTGAGTAAATTGTGTACTTAGGTTCAAGTGTCTTTGTGCATATTAGTTTACTTCAGCTAACAAATATTTAAATCACTTGATGGGGGCTTTTAAGTAATGCCAGGAGAGGAGAGCAGTCGGAAGGGTTAACTGAGTACCTGAATTATATCACAGTGGGTGTATCCAGATATCGATCTATCCCTTCTCCTACTCCTGTGGATACAAGTACAGCAACTTTCATTTCATGGAACGAGCCACTCGCTGTTTTCTTGGCTATCCAGGACTGTCTAGGATCAACATAGCTTAGATAATAGTCCAGTTTCTCACGTGGGTGGGCATTGTTAAGGTTCAAACCCACACCCTCACTATATCAGTGTATTTACCCACGTGGGCGCGCGACACGATTTTATTTCTCATGAAACTTCCTAGCTACCTTGTAGACTGGATTTATCTGGAAGACTAGACTTTTTTTTATTTTATTTTTTTGCATCTTAGGAATGGGGATTTGGACAGATGACAACAAGGTCAGGGGGTAAGTCTGCTAGTCAATGCGACACGGCCTTTCTCATTTTCACTTTGTAATTGGTCGGCGTCAGAGGCTTAGGAGCTGCAAACAAATTTCATAATTCCAATCTACCCTGTTCGATTCCAGCTGCCGCGATGTGACAGTAGGTGGATTCTGCTTGTTTTTCGACTGGGTATTAAAAGCCGATCGCTTAGTAAGCAATGGCAAACTACTAAACGTAAAGAATTCTAGCAAAACCAACACAGCCAACAAATGCTGGATTGGTTCTGTAACGTCATGTAAACAATCAGCAGCTAACTAACTAAATAACTGTTTTAGTTTTCTAGAGAAACTGGGATTCCTGGCTTTATTCAGCAGAGTTCTTTAGAGAAATTGGGATTCCTGGCTTTATTCAGCAGAGTTCTTTAGAGAAATTGGGATTCCTGGCTTTATTCAGCATAGTTTTCTGGAAACATTTTGATTCCTGGCTTTATTCAGCATAGTTTTCATTTAAAGAATGATGGATATAAACAGTTTTATTCATATATCACCACATTTTCTTTTACATGATGTAGATATAGACTTATTTCAGCCACTAATATTAACAGTTTAAAACTTTCTGAACAGCAAAACTTGCTTGATAAACGAAGAGTAGACAAACGTAACTGACATTCAATTAGATGAGCAGTCTGTTAAAGTCTGAGAGTATTGTTTTACTTCAGGTCATAATTTACTAACTCATTTTTTATATGTATAGACTAGAATTAACGGTTTCGTGTCCAGTTACTGAGCTGAGTGCTTGGTGTGACACTTTGAGCTGTATATTTCAATGTGAATGTTGTTCGTCTTTGCATTAATCAGTTTGTGTTCTATGTTGTATATTGAATTTTAAATTAAGAATCGACATCACAGCACTCGGGACACTCCCAAAAGTGCTCAGCAAGCGAAGAGTTTCAATTCTGGTGGTACCAGTAACTGACTGATTGTATATCCGTCTCATCCTTCTCCTGATTGTTGAGCGTCGGCCATAGTAACTCTTCGCAGCGCCATTCTACATTGACCGTAATGTGTGTTCTTATAATTAGAAAATAGCGTGTGGTCGATCTGCGTCATTTTCTTCTTCTTCTTTGCGTTCACCAGCTCTAAACTCTGGTGGAAAGTTCTAGTTGTTCGTCCACTTCTGGACTCCTGTCCTGTTCCAAAACCTGAGTGTTGCATGTACATACGTTTGACAGATCTGACACATTTGTGTGCAGACTGTTGGTTCCTTAACTCTTGGGCAGATGCACTCCGACTTCGAAGGAAACTACCAATTAACCGACTTTTACGACAGGCTTTTATGTAGGCAGTGGGTCTTTTATTTTCCCTATAATAAGGCCCCGGATCCCACATGGGCGGGGTGGGGAGGTCTGCGTCATGACTAGCGATGTGACGTGTGCTACTACCAGCTAGTCGTGGCTGACTACTTCTATCAACAATGAAATTCTGATGGCGGATAAAATTTACATTTACCACTTGTGCAAGCTTCTTGAGTTTTCTCGGACTAATTTGTCTGTTCACTAGTTGTTAAATTGTACATAAAAAGGGCACTTTGATTATCAATGGCACATGAACTGAACATTTATGGCGTGGACTCGTCTGAGGTGAAGTTGTAACCTCGTCTATACATGACATTGAAAGAGTTCACGGTAGCTTAGAAAAGTTCGTATCCGATTGAAGGACAATTTTTACCAGATCAGGTTATCAGGAAAACCGTGACTAACTGTAACAACTGGAAAGATTAGGTAACAGAAATAGGTGCAGAAAAAGAAAGAAGTTTCTTGGCATACTTTTGTGTTCACATTAAACAGCATCAGTACAGGACCTGATACGCCCAGTTGAGGATTGCAAAATCTAGTGGAGCGTGATCACCGAAACCAGTCAACAAGACAGCCGATGACTGTGGTGGCAGCTTTCATTAACATCTTAGAAATCAATGATCGTTTACTTACTTACCTTATAGCCTTGTTTATCGTTAGCCTCGGGGAACTCGTCCGCTGACCCATTGTTGTTGAGAGCATATTTAGACACAGGACTTGTCTGTGTACCTCCTGAACGATAGGGCGAACCTGTGTTGCTGTTGTAGTTTCCATAGTTGGTGTTATTGTTGTAATGTCTTCGGGGACTGTTTTGCGTGCTGGTTTTATTCGTTGGCGAGTAAGCGTCGTAGTCCTGTGAATGTGAAAAATGAAAATTAGAATTTCAAAAGTAAATGACATGACGTATTGAATGACGACTTCAAAGATTAGAAGAAGCAGACGTGGGCCCAGAGACTGCTGTTCATCATCATCATCATCATAAACCCCTTCTGCCGTTAAGCTCCGTGGGGAGGAATAATTTGCAATCCAGTGCACGTTGGCTGCCATTGGCTATTGTCATGCCGTGAAGGCGTAGAGTGTCTTTAATGTTGTCGATCCATGTTTTCCGCAGCCGTCCTCTTGCTCTTGTAGCTAATCTTCTGATATGTAGTGCTTGTGATGGTATTTGATCTTGCTGCATTCTAACGAGATGGCCAAACCACTTGATCTGCTGTTTCTCAATTATTCTAGTACAAAGTGTCCTTCCCACAATTTGCCTGATAGTTTCATTATTCACTCGATCTCGTATGGTTAGGTTGGCTGCTTTTCTCAGTCACCTCCTCTCGCAGGTGGTGATTTTCCGTATATGGACTTTAGATAGTTTCCATGTTTGGCACTAGTAGCTTAATGTTGGAATGAATATGCTATTAATAATCTGTCTCATTGCACTCATAGTTATGCTTGGATGTCCTAATACTGGTGACAACTGGTATATAAGTGCACTTGCTTTCTGACATCTGGTTTCTATTTCTCTGTCAATTCTGCCATCTTCTGTGATCATACATCCTAGATATTAAAATTCCCTAACTTGATTCAGGGCAGAACCATTCAGCTGTATGTGTAGTGGGTCAGGGGTTCTACTAACTTGCATTGAGAGTATATCCCACGCCGCTACGCTACGCGCGGCGTGGATAGGGGAAAAACTAGATGGCTGGGACTCATGAGCAGCAGCTACCGCATCTCCTGCAGCTTCCTTTATTTTATTTGCTCGTGAGTCCCAGCCATCTATTTTAGCCCCGCTAATTTGGGATCGTTATTTGGAGGAAAGCCTATACATAATTTTAATGCACTTTTCTGTTAATAGTATTTTAAAGGATTCATAAATCAGCAAGTCCTTCAAAAGGTAAAGTCGGGAGATGTAAACCAGCGTCATTGCACACGGTTATAAACCATAAGTGCTCTGCCACCAGTACGGACAGCTAATAAGAATTGTCCGTCTGTGTCGCCGCTCGCACGTAGCTCTGTAGCTACAGCGACGTTTCTCCATTTACCCCAGAGTTTCAACTCTGGTACCCATTTCCTAGAGGCTGGGTGAACCCAGGGTGCCGCCCGGTTTCGAACACCGACCGTGGCTGCAGCGAGTCGCAGCTGGATTTGAAAGCCAGTCGACTTATCGACTGAGTTAACGCGGCCCCCTAGCAAGTCCTTTATGGAACGTCGCTCTCTTCACGGCATTCCTGAAGAATATATTGAAGATAAAAATAACATAACAAGCAGATGTAACACTAGAGGTAAAAAAAAAATAAACATATCAATTTACTTATTATTGAAGAAGGAGGAGGTGGTGGAAGAGGAGGGGAAGAAAACTCTCAAGGACCATTTGTCATAACAAAGGTTAATTAGCATAACAAATCACTGGTAATATTGTTTGAGGTTTGAACAACGGATCAACCATGGCACACGGGTTGTAGCCCATAAGTGCTCCCTTCTTCTTCTAATTAAAATCTGAGTCCGAAGAAACTCAGCACAGTGCACAGGCTCTGTAGCACCTGCGAGGATCCTGAAATACTTTGGGTAGAATTTTAACTCCACATTTTGCCTGGGCAGCGCCGTTAGGTTACTCTTTTCGATTTCCAACTGCCAAGAGATTTTTTTTTTTACGTGCGCAACAATGCACACGGGTGTCTGATCTCACTACCTAGAGACTAGGGAAAATTACTAGAAGTCCAAGTCCAGGTAAAAAATTCCAAGCCCTTACCGGTGATTGAACCCGGAACCTCTAGCATTCGAGGAGGACGCCATGCCTCGAGGCCAAACAGCTCCCTCGCTGGTTATATAAGATTTGACAAGTGAAAATAATAACAATAATGATTACCTCGTCGTCATATTCGGTTGCATCTTTGGTGTTTGTATTCTTTGATCCACCACATCCCATGATGTTCTGTTAGGAAACACGTGTTCACGTTCGTGGCACGGCGGGCAGGTGATCTATCTTTTGATATTTCTGGATGTATCATAAAGTGCTCTTGACTTTTTCAAAGTATCCATCTAAATAGTTTTAAAAAAACATGTGTCTGGTATTAAAATGTACACTATCATCATCATCAATTTCCACTTTTGTCGTTAAGCGCCATCTAATCGAATAGTTTGCATGATGTAACACTGGCTATTGTCATTCCGTATCGATGTAGGAACTCTTTCATCTCATCGATCCATATTCTTCTAGGGCGTCACTTGCTTTCACATCAGATCTTTGTATGTTTAGCACCTGTATTGGTAGTTGTTATGGCTTGATACTATTGAGATGACCAAAATATTTTGATATTCTGTGTCTCAGTTTGTTTGATCAATTGGTGTTTTGTTGGCTTAGTCTGATAGTATCATTTCTCACTTAGTCTAGGATGGCTATGTTGGCGGCTTTCCTCTTGCATCTCTCTTAAAAACGGGTGTTAATGTTACGTTGATTAATAGATACTTCGAAAAACAAATCTCTTTTTTCACGCCTTTGGCGCATCGGGCATATGGGAAGAGCATTCATATTGTTACAAATCAATCGGCACTAGCTGGGTAGGCGATAGTCAGCATTACGCCGGTCGTCTCTACTTCCCCAGGACATACATCCTGGTACCCGTTTTAGGTTGGGCGACGCCCCATACCATGATAAAAGTCAACGCAGCCAGCAGTGAGTTTAGATCGCGGTTCGTGGGAATTATGACTCGGACTCGCACAGCCTAAGATGCGGACGCCGCAGATTAATCGATAGTAGATATTAAATGATAAAAATAATATATTCGAATAGAGAGAACTACGAGGGTGAAAAGCTGTGTAAATTCATTGGTGCTACTGGATCCATCGGAATTGGAACCATTTGCTGGCTGCTGAAGATCAGGAGGGAGCGCATAACGAAATGTCCCGAATTCTGTGATATCAGTTCTTAGGGCAACACTCAATAGAAAGGGGTGGGGTAAATTCATTAGTATTTGTCCCACAGGGCAATGATCTCCATTTCGCTACTTCTATTGGAATAAGCTAAAAATTGTATTTTTATTTTCTATATAAGGTTTGATGAGTGCTTGAGCCCAGTTGGCATAAAGACTAGACGCTTACCTGTTTGACTGAAAGTCTTGGGTTCAAATCCGCATCGAATCAGGATTTTACTAGGGCTGTACCGAATATTCGCTTTGTATTCGTTTCGGTATTCGGCCGAATAGTTGCGGTCGGGCCGAATACAAATAGTAGTTACCTTACACCCACTTCTGCATGCACGGCCTTAATGCTGACAACAAGGAACGTTTGGTTTTGTTGAAAGCTAATGCAGCTTTCCTGCATTAACTAAGCTGTCAGTGACAATTTCCAAGTTTAGTTACTTGTTATAATACTTAGAATTCTTTCATTCCTAATTATTAGTTACCGCAGACTGACTGAAGGATGCAGAACATAAAATGTTTTTAAATGTTTACTATTCTCTACGAATACTAACTAGACATGGAAAGAATATAAACTCCGGCCACATCCAAGTCGATAATATGAATATAAAACGAACGGAAACACATAAATACTTGGGTGCAAACTTCAACTGCTCCAACACGCGGAGAGAAGAAATACAATCTAGAATACAATATAGAAATAAAGTATACTATGCCCTTCAACATCTGCTAAAGTCAAAGTGTCTGTCTCGCAACACCAAGATCAAAATATATAAAACGTTGATAAGACCAGTCGTTTTATCTGGCTCTGAAACGTGAAGCAGAAAGAAAAGAAATGAGGTCTTATTACAGGTTTTCGAAAACAGTCTTTCGACAAATCTTTGGACCTATCAAAGATGCTAACAGCGGGGAATGGAGAGTGAGAAGCAACAATTCAACAAATAATCTGTTTAAATCACCATTGATCACTGGCATCATGAGAGCTAACAGACTAAAATGGTTGGGGCATATTGAAAGAATGTCAGATGACAGAGAAGTAAAAACTGCATACACCTGAGAGAAGAATGGGCGTAGACCACGAGGCAGACAAACAATAAGTTCGAGAGATAATGTCCAGTCAGACCTGAAAACATCTGGTGTCACAAATTGGGAAGATAAGGCCGGCCAGAGAGATGAATGGAGACGAGTGATATCTGCAGCAGTAAACCTCAAGGGCTCAGAATGCTAAAGAAGAAAATGACTATTCTGTGCAACTTTATGTGAAGTAAAAGTTCAGTGTACATTTGCCATTATGTGTGTGTGTGTGTTTTTAGATATATTTTATACATTATTCACTATTCGTATTCGTATTTGTATTCGGCCCAATAGTTGGTCCCGCTATTCGTATTCGGTCGAATAGTAAAAATCACTATTCAGTACAGCCCTAGTTTTTTCCCTTTAGATTTGACCTTGGCCGCCAGGTCGACCCAGTCTAAATGGGTACCAGATAAGGTTCTGCAGAATAAAGGCGGCCGGTGCCATGTTGGTCACATCACCGACCGAGTGCCTACTCGTCAATGAAAATAAAAATAAAAATAAGTTTGTCGTCATATATCAGATTCTCAGTTGGCGTAAAAAGGGTCCGCTATAGTGCGCTCCAGAAGTCCGGCCGAACTTTACAAAATCTGTAACTCAGTTACTGTTCGGTGTAAACTTGAAATTTGAACAAGCAGCATGTTTATAGTAAGGTCCTTGTGGGCGGTTTTTTTTTTTTTTTTTTCAATTTTTTTTTTTTTACAAATGTAAACAAACATTTTAGTCTTCATTTTGAATTATTTCTGACGTATGAAAAAAACAGACACTGATTCAAAGCAAACAATAGGCATGCTTACTGTATAAAATTGTTAAGCTCATTTAATAACCTCCAATCTCACCTATAAATAATTACAAACATCACAAAGATTGCCATACCCGTACGGGACTGCTGGTTACCCCCGGGCTGTTACGAGTGCCCCAATTGTACCTTTCTTGGAGGTTTAACTTGGTGTCTTAGCTTGCTATGTTAGTCTGCCACTAAAAATATCTTTTGATTTTACGATGTTAAATGTCTGCCACAAGAACTGACTTCTAATCTTACAGTGTCAAAAGTCTGCCACAGAACTGACTTCTAATCTTACAGTGTCAAAAGTCTACCATCAGAACTGACTTCTAATCTTACAGTGTCAAAAGTCTGCCACCAGAACTGACTGCTAATCTTGAGGTGTTAAAAATCTACCATCAGAACTGACTTCTAATCTTACAGTGTCAAAAGTCTGCCACAAGAACTGACTTCTAATCTCACAGTGTCAAAAGTCTACCATCAGAACTGACTTCTAATCTTACAGTGTCAAAAGTCTGCCACCAGAACTGACTTCTAATCTTACAGTGTCAAAAGTCTGCTACGAGAACTGACTTCTAATCCTACGGTTTAAAAAGTCTGCAACCAAAACTAACTTCTAATCTAACATTGTCAAACCTTCTGATCTGCTACTTTGACATCCAGACTGAAGATCTGGTGACCTGAGAATGTCACCTTTAGGTTCTGTTGGTCTGCCTGCAGACTGAAGATCTTATCATCTTAGGGTGTCAAAACTTTCAGGTTCCTGCAGAAGCTAAACGGCTCACACTTATGCACTTACAAACATGACTCGCAAGTCTCCTTTTCAAAAACACACTGAAAGCTGCACTAGTTGATTACAGAACAAAATAACAATATTTCATAGATGTCGCCTTCAAGAAAACGAAGACATATCACATGCTAGCTCTTTTGTGTTTTTAACCAGCCTCTTGATTCAATATGAGCATAACAAACAGAAACCATCCGGTATGGCAGCGTGTTCACATGGAAACGACTAAACAGTGTTCAAATGCTAGGACAATACAGTGTTCTCGCAATCAATAGTCAAATTCGATTGAATGAAGACAAACTTGCATACCATTCTAATGAAGGTTTTTGCTAAATGGCTCTTTTGTTTCCTTCATATTCATGTAGGAGTGTATGCTGTTTCTGAAGAGCTGCATTCGTGTAGATTTCGATCCGTTTGGGAACCAAAACACGAATGTCGGTTGCCAGGAAAGACTTTAAACTAGGAAACCAAATAAACGATAACATAAGAGTTGCATAGTCATGGGCGCCGTTATTCAGAAATTAGTTTAGGGCGAAGGGCTCAGTGGGCCTAACCCTTGTTTGAATTCCCAAATAAAACAAAATAATAACAAATAATAATAATAATAGGGGGTCTCTGTGGCGAAGTGGTCAAGAGTTTGTTTCGCGATCAGAATGTCGTGGGTTCGTTTAACAGCTGAGTCGTTAGGTTTTTGAGTACAATTTGACGGAGACAGCTGGGGATCGTCCCGGAAGCAGCGGAGTTCGTGCTTCGTGTGAAGCTCTCGTTAGGCCGCTAGATGTTATGAGGAGTGAGGCCGGGCTCTCAATAATAATAATAGTAATAATATATTGACATGTTTATATAAAATACTATATTTCAAATAATATTAAATGCCTAATCGAACATCGTGACGGTAGGAAAGTTGGAGGGGAGGAGAGGCAGAGAGAGAGAGAGAGAGACCGAGAGAACAGATGCTGGACAGTTTGACATCATGGCATGGAGGATCATCTGTGTCAGAGTTGACTGAAGGTACCCCACAACACCACACGACACGGACTCTGAAACGAAGAAGAAGAATCGCACAATAAAGAAAGGAACTCTTACAAGAAGTTGGGAATAGGAAGGTTTCGCCAACAGAAATTTGCTGTGGTGCGGGGGGGAGGGGAGGGGAGACAAGAGTCATGTGTCTCAACAAAGGGCTCACATAATAATAATAAAAACAACAACATCAACATGTTGAATGACAAATATGTGTAACAATATTTTTAAAACAATATTATATGTGTAATAAAAAATTGTTGAAGAAAACGTTTAGACATAGTTGGAGAAGAGAGTGGGGATGAAGGTTAGGAATGTGAGAACCATTAAAGAAGAAGTGGGGA